GCCGCCATGTTAGTTCGCGCTGCATCCGAGCTGTGGGATTTACAACACGCAAATTCATCCTCTCCTCCCGAAACACGTTAAAGTAGGTCTCCGGTAAACTGGGAGAAGAGCAGAGTAAACTTTATAGTTACCTACACAATCTGTATATGACATAAATAAAAACATGTCGTCAGATTATATTTGTGAGGATCATTATTGCCGTTTCCATAGACATCAGCGTGTATTTTACAAACTGTAAATGTATGGTTTTGCTAGTACTTATGTGTATTTAAATGTCTGAAACCTAAAATAAGCATTATATGGTTGAAAACACTGAATATTTGTGATAATATGACAAGCACTCACCGGTGCGATCTGGCTCAGCACCAGCCAAATCAGATTTAAATTCAGCAGTTGATGACGTGACGCACTGAAAGTTCTAATCACACCGGTGTGATCGTACACTTCAGGGACCAGCCAAGACTGATCACACCGGTGTGTTCGTACGCTTCAGGGACCAGCCAAGACTGATCACACCGGTGTGATCGTACACTTCAGGGACCAGCCAAGACTGATCACACCGGTGTGATCGTACGCGTTCAAGGGTTAAAGCGCTGCTTTGTTTACAGCGGTAACCAAGGAAACGCTGTATCTGGTGTTCCAGAGGCGCCTCCCGCGGTCAGAGAGTGAATCTGCATCTCATTTAGAGCTTCTGCTGTTTATTTCGTTCAGGCATGTAGTATAATTTCACAAAGCTAGTCAGTACATTGGGCTATTATTAAATCAAATTATGTATATGAAATTATATAAATGATAATAATAAATTAATTATATAACTAAAATTAAATAACTGTAATTACAGATTTAGGTAAAATCGTTAGCTTTTATGTATAACAGTTCGCCTAGTTGTAATCTGATTTTCTAATCTGACTAGACAAGAGACTTTCTATTGATATTTCCTCCTGCGCGCGTTCTAGATGAGCTGTCAGTCAGTGCAGTTACAGTGTTGCGCCACAAGGTGGTGGAAAGGGACTGTCATTCAACTACACGTTCAAAAACGCTGATTCATTCATTCAAAGAGACGTAATGAAACACTGTTGAAATCATTTTAACTTTGAGCGCCACTTTAGAAGGCTCAGCTGACCAGCTATGCTAAGATGCTAAGAGAGATTTCGCTTTCCTTGGACATGACAAACTATTTTCACAAATGACTCGGCCTGGAGGACAGACGCAAGTAATCGCACATGCTCAGTCGATCTCTCTCTCATTCACTGTCTGTTTAGGCTTATTAAGTGCAAATCTACGGAGCCTCTACAGATCAGCATGGTACACATTATGTTATCTTTACTAACTTGTTTAATGTTTAGTCCACATGCATGGTGTAAAACGAGAAGGGCATAACCTAACGAAAAAATAAAACACGCAAAAATCGCGGTTGCTGCGGTTCTTGCATTCCTCTGCGGTTTGCTCGTCAATAGCGTGGTATTGCGGTTAACGCGACAGCCCTAGCTGTACATTCACTCCCCCCACCTACAATTCCTGCCGGACCTGAGACTCAAACTCGCAACCTTTGGGTTATGAGTCCGACTCTCTAACCATTAGGCCACGACTTCCCCAGTCATTTAAAAATAACATTTTAGAGCTGTAACGACAACGCCATGATATTTTTGCTTAAGGTTATCATACCGTCAAAATCCCATACCGGCCCATGCCTACTATTTAACACAAGAATTTAAAAATCGTGCAATTAATTCATGCCTAGCCCCTTAATGTACAGACTCCATTTATTCTTTGTTTTATTGATAGCACACCTAATGCTGAAGTGATCTAATTTTAGTTTTTTAATATTAAGCAGAACAGCCATTTTCCAAAAAAAACCTATACTTTTCATTTGCCTGCTTTCCCGCTCACTTGTAAGCAGGGCTGGACTGGGACAAAAAATCGGCCCTGGCATTTTTTGGTCCAGGTGGCCCATCACCACTTTGATAGATTTTTTTTTTTTTACCCTACACCAGTCAAAAGTTTTTGAACAGTCGAGATTTTTAATATTTTTTAAAGAATTCTCTTCTGCTCACCAAGTCTGCATTTATTTGATCCAAAATACAGCAAAAGCATTAATATTGTGAAATATTTTTACTATTTTAAATTACTGTTTCTATTTGAATATATTTCAAAATGTCATTTATTCCTGCGATTTCAAAGCTGAATTACTCAAGTCACATGATCCTTCAGAAATCATTCAAATATTCTGATTTGCTGCTGAAAAAAAACATTTATTATTATTATTATTATTATTATTATGTTGAAAACAGCGAGAAATTTTCAGGTTTCTTTGATTAATAGAAAGTTCAGAAGAACAGCATTGATCTGAAATATATATATTTTTTGTAACATTATAAATGTCTTTATCGTCACTTTTGATCAATTTAAAGCATCCTTGCTAAATAAAAGTATTAATTTCTATAATTTCCACAAAAATAAATAAATAAATAAATAAAAAAACTGACTCCAAGCTTTTGAATGGTATATGTATAATGTTACAAAAGCTTTTTATTTCATATGAATGCTGATCTTTGCATCTTTCTATTGGATCTTTCTTACTGTTCAAAACATTTTGACTGGTAGTGTATGTATGTAGCCTATGTATCACACTCATATCACATCTTGTTTTGGATAAGAATAAAACGTCGGGTCTGACAATATAGTGTCTTTTTTATTTAAATCTAGCTTTATTCGCATTGGCCCATGGAAACCTCTATGAACACACTTGACTTGGCTAAAAAATCGAGTGGGACGAATTTACGTTTTATTAAAAAGTGTTTTCACATTCTACACTCATGGCGCGCAGCCGCACCGCGCACACACATTGGGATAGGTTAGATTCCTGCCTCCGTTGCGAGTCCCTATCAAGCACTTTAACAATTCAACTACTCTCTTTATCTCCCCCTGCCTTGCTCTTTGGCCCACATCACTCACCGCAGAGCAAGCCTGTTCTTGATAAATCTCCTGTGAAAACGTGGGAAAAGCCGACGACGAAGAAGTTGGGGTGATGCGATCTTTATATAGGCGGAGCAAAATACTTATTCGCTCGTCTATAGCGCATTGTGATTGGATGTTTACGCTGTCAATACAGGAGACAAACCAATGGGCCACTGGCTGCTCGCTGTCCCTGCGTGATGGTTTTCGGCAAAAAAAAAAACATTCTGTCGGCCCCTTAACTGCGTCGACCCACCGGGAAAATGCCCGGTATGCCTGATTACCAATCCAGCCCTGCTTGTAAATCACTACCTTGGATGGTTCATGTAATAGTATCTGTGCGCATGTATACAAGGTGGAAACGGTAAATGCATCTCAGCTGACAACTTGTGATTTAATCACCAAAAATCACATTGGAAACAGGGCTTCTCTCTTTCATTCATTCATTTCGGGATATTATGTTTTAGAGATGTAACGATTAACCGCGAGCCAGTTGAAAATCGATTCAAATATGTGATGATTCAAATCGGTTGAGATGCTAAACAAATCGCGATTCATTTAGGGGTAGGAGTTTATATGAATGCATGTCTGAGGGGAACTTACTGTCTTTAGAAAAGTTTAGATGGTATTTTTCATCTTGCCTCTGTATAATGCATATTAAAGTTCATAAGTGCAGCGCTGCTTTGTTTAGTTACCTGCTGGCAGAGAGTGAATCTGCGTCTCATTCAGCTCCGCTGTTTTATGCAGATATTTTTATGTATAGTTTCACAAAACTGAAGTCAAACCATTCTGTTTTTGCCTCAAATTTCGAAATTACTCAATGTAATTTTGATTAAAAACTGCTCATGTTGCATGTATGCAGCATCTTTGTTTGGATCATGATTAAAATGCAGTGGTTGCCTCTAATTTTAAACGGAAAGAGCACAGACAAAGTCTTAGTTTGTTTATATGAAGATATTTATTTTATTTGTGTTACTTATTTATTTGATTTGGGGCTTGTTTTAAAATGTCAATTTAGTTTTGTTATTTACATTCAATTAAAATTGTGTCATTTAGCAGACACTTTTATCCCAAGCGATTTACAAATGAGGACAATAGAAGCAATCAAAACCAACAAAGAAGCAATAATATGCAAGTGCTATATTAGTATATTATTATAGTGTTATAATTCAATTTCACACAGAAATGTGCAGCATTTTGTCCAAGCAATAATAAAAGGACACATTTAATTTATAATTTGTCTTAAATCTCAATCATTTGAGATTGAGTATCGAATCGTGAGTTGAGTGAATCGTTACACCCCTATTGTGTATATATAATAATATTTTCATAAATTGAGCTTGTCCTTCTTTCTTAGATCTATTTGCAAATTAAATTGTGCTTAGTGTTGTCTGTTCAGCATATATTATATTTACTAATTTGTCAACTGTGTCATTTACACAGAACCAAAGCCTAAAGGGGTAGACACACTACATTTTTCATACCACTGACTACCCTTCAATGCAGGAAACAGGAAACACAAGCTCATGCAAATTGTGCTGCATTCCAAAGTACAGGTTTGGTAAACTCTGATCTGCAAATTCATATCACATGAAGATGTGTGACCAATAGAAGATTGGTGTTACAGCGTGGCCTCTTAACTGAATTAAAACAATGTAAACTTTAATTCTGCAGAATAATGGTAAAATGGAGTAGACTGTTAATTTTTACATTTTAGATGTATTTTAAGTTGAATTATGTTTTTTAAAAAGACTCTGCATAGTGTGATGTCATATTACATCTGTGGCAGTTTCCATAGAAATTTTGCATGCTCAAAGTCTAGTGTGACCGCAACTTACTTAAACTTTTAACACTATTCTTTTGTTGTCTAATATTTCCTTCAGAATATTTAGTTACTCTCATGTTCACAAAGTGTCAGGTTTGTAGTTAGTTCTGAACTGTTGATGTGTAGTGGTAAAAAAAAAAAAACTGTTGTACGTAAACCTGTAATGCTACTCTACTTACTCTGGTGGTAAACAAGACCCCATTAGCTCACTGCTCTGCTCTAATCTAAAAAGAATTAAAGTTTTAACTGACTCATCTGAAGCTTCTCCCCATGACCTGCACAAACGAGATTGTAGAACAATTAGATTTCAGTAAAACTATTCTCTCCTGAACCTGAAAAAACTGATTACAGCACATAATATGAGCTGGTATCAGTAGAACATGTTAATAGAACTTATGGTCATAGAACTTACAGACCACAAGTGCAGCAGGTATGTGTCCTTCTGCATAATGTGGCAACAGCACCAGTTTGGGAATCAGGAAGCTGTTATAGAGCCAGACAAACAGCACCATGCTTATGCAGAACCAGCCCATGGGGTCCACCACAAAATGCAGTCGTAGCTTCATCCTTCCAGATAGAGTATGTGCCAGGATAACTGAAGCAGCTCCTGATTGCAGACAGGATGCAGAGTTTGGATCAATGGTAGCCAAAAGCACCATTTAATATGGAACATATTGATTTGTTCAAGGCTAAAAAAGGATAAGAAAAATTAACCAGCGTATTCAATAATGTTTTCACAAGCACATCAAATAAATGCAAATGGTGTGGTTCAGAAGTCTAAGGCTGATGATACACGGGGCAACTTTTTCAGCAATGTTGCTTGGGCACTCTCCCATTGAGAATGGATAACAAATTTCTATCTGGATACTTTAGATCGGTTGTGGGCCCTCTGTCTCACCTGGTTGCCCGTTGACGGCAACATTGCCCAAAGTTGCCCCGTGTATCATCAGCCTAAGACTACACGGAGTTCATGCAGCACAAGAGACAGACCAAATAATAAGACATTCTGAAATGCATAACTTTCTGCTGATTTTGAGAAATGGACAGATATATGCACAATGTTAGATGATGCTTAAGTGTTCCAGTATTACCCATGTATGGGATCATTTAGTATGGTATGTATTCATTGGACTGTAGCCTAGCACCAATTAAATAAGGTGCTGCTATCAAGATTTGTGTTGCTATAAAAACTTGCTATAAAAAAGGAAGTGTATGGATGAAGCTTTACATGAATCAGTCAAGTAGTACCGTTTTAATGGTGTCAGTCCACAGAAAGCAGCAGCATCACAGTGGCCCTAGCCATGACAACCTGAAACATAAAAAACAAACACTGGATAGCTGTTTGTTTATGGAAATTAGTCCCACAAAAAAAAACGACAAACAACCAACGATTTTAATGTGTCAGATGTTCGGTGTGGAGTTTTGCAGAAAAATCCTGGCTTCACGTGGAGTAAGAAACACTCAAAACAAGAGTGATCCAGTTAGCTAAATAATAACTTGTGTGAAGATTTAAAAATAAAAAGTGATGAATGAGGTCACACGAGACACCTACTGGACTACTCTGGATTTGTTCATGCTTACGCCCATGTAGATAAACTGATCTTGCGAAACATTTGAGCAACGCTAAAAGGCACAGAAAAAGTAAATGAATAAAAATAAATTACATTGTTATGATTTCTCATCTAAAACGGCACTTCTCTGGACTGGCAGTTCTCTTGATGTTGTGAGAACAGACACAGTTTAAGAACAAAACAGTTCAATTCATAAACAGTCACAGCTAATAAAATAACTCATGTAAACATGTTCTAATTTTAGGGCATTTCTGATCTCTTTATGTCTACTCATCATATATTTATTGTAACTAGTAAACATGTCCTGGCAGTGGATCACGATGAGTGATGCCCACGAGGATGATACACAGTTGAGTAAAGACCTGGCCCACAAACTCACAACCTGCGAAAAGGAATATGACATCAGATTACCGAATCATAATAATGCTTACCGATTTTCTCACACGCTGGTGTCACAGTTGGGTGTCGTGGGTTTAGTGTTGGATTCTAAGATCGAAAGATATCAGCTCTTCCTGGACTGTGATTGTACGGAAACCGCAACGTGTGGAACGCTTTTTGTATGCAGCGCCACTGAACCAAAGAGTGAATTGTCAAAATGGCACATGACATGAGTGCGGTCAATGTAAACACCTTATTTCTTCTTCTTCTTCTTGAAACTTTATTGGCGGTTGACAAACAACAAAATGGTGTATTTCCGCCACCAACTGGAATGGAGTGTGGATTTCCTTCCCAAATTTTTTTTTCTTTTTTCCCCCTCCTTTTTTTCCCTTTTATTTATATATATTTATATTTTAAATCCTCTCCCACAAATGAGTTATTTTAAGGAACTGAAAAATAAAACTATAGCATTCATTCCTTTAATTATTTTGTAAAATATATCTCGATATAAATTGCATTTTCATTTTTTCAAAATTTAGCATTAGCATCCTTCTTTCAGTCTCATATTTCTGACAGTACATGTCTAACATATTCCACTGTTTCTTTTTGTCCACAAAATTCACACCTTCCCGTATCATGTTTACTACTATTTAGTCTTGTGTGTCCAAATATCATCCTCGATATTACGATCTCATCTCTTAAACACCTTATTTGCATCTATAAAAGCCCTTATAAAAATTACAGTGGTAATAATGGTTTCCAAAATATAGCTACTATTACAAAAATAAATAAATAAAAAAATTAAAATAAACTGATAGCTACTACTGTCATAATTGTTTCTGATATGAGACTATTCCATACGTTTACTAAACTATTATCTAACATAAAATTAACACGAAAAAAAGCTAGTTTTAAATGCATCAAAATGATTAATTTTTATTTATTTGAAATATGAGTTTAATAGCTACAAACTCAAACCAACATTTTATTTCATTATTTATTTTTTTACCTCAAACTTGTTGATCGGAATAATAGAAAAAATTGGACTAAATATTCAACCGTCACCCAATCTGTTGTACCAAGTTCTGTCATGAAACTCTAGATGGCGCAGGCTGATTGGTCCGGTCCCTCTGCAGGACGAATACCCGTATCCTTCGGTCTTCCTGACGACCAGATGTAGATCGCTGCATCTGGAGCTCTCTCTCCGGTATGGCGAGTGGATCATGCCGGGCATAACCTACCGAAGTCGACAGTCGTGTACTTTTTACATGTGAGAAGGGGTACGTCGCAACACAGACACTTTATTTCAACCAATAATAATTGGTTGAAATAAAGTATCAAAAGTAAGTAGTCATATTGTTTTACTGATCAACACTATTAAAATACATTAAGAAATGTATAAACAATAAACTTACGTATTTTATGTATTATAACAAATGCCAGCAGAGGACGCCAGCGGCCTGACGATTGTTGTTATACACTTTACATCACGAGCAAACCATTGTTTATCTAATGTTTAATTGCATTTAATCTGTAATGTTTGGCCACATATTTATGATAGAAATGCTACAGCCAACAGTTTAAAGTTTTATTTTGAAACCTTAAACATTTATTTATATATTTATAAATATATTGATGCATTCTCATGTGTTGCTGGCATATGTTTTTAAGTTGCTACAAATAATTTCAACAGCACAAGTTTTGTCCACATTCCCAAATGCAAGTTATTGTGGGGAAAAAAGTACCAAGCATAGAATAAAATAATACAAGGACTGTAAATGGTTTTGCCACAAACTCAACTCTGTTGAACAGAGCAGTACCAGAGGGTTAAAGGAATAGAGATGTTTATGTTGTCCCAAAAACGTATTTCTTTTTCTTTCTTCTTTGGAAAAAAAACATTTAAAAGGAGACTTATGGAAGCCTTTTCCATGTCCCTCAAAAATATGATTATTGAGATTTCTTAAAATAAACACAAGGGTTCACTGAAGAGAAATTGTGAAAACTCTTGAAACCATTCATATTTACTGTACAGCTCAGCTGTACATATTTATCTGTTTTCTTGTGTTTTTTCCAATGTTTCTTTTTCTTGTTTGCTCAGCATTTTGCTGTTTTTAATAATTAATTGAAGACACTGTTTGTACTCTGCTTGCTCACGTTTAGGAAAACAGTGAATGGTAATGATAGATATACATTGCTTTATTATATGTTGTGGGGAGTGGAATTCTAACTAATTGAATCGTTAGAAGTTTTGGGTTGTCAGAATAGTAGCTGCATAAAAAATATTAAGAATAAAATTCAGAATATGTTCATATTGTGATCCAATATGTAGCACCTGTGTACTCAAATGCAATACATAAGCTATTGGAGTTTTAGGTTCTCACGGAGTGGGAAATATAAAATTATAAATATATAAAAATAAATATAAAATTACTGTATGCTGGAGACCAGATCTTAGATAGTTACTCAGGTGAAGGAGATTCTTGCAAATGACAAAAGCTAAGTATTAAAAGTCTTCTTTCCTACTTTGTTGTTGTAAAAATTATAAATTAGTTTAGAAATAAGTTGTAGTGGTGTAGTGGATCAAGTTGAGTTTTATAGTCTTTTATGAATAGTATTAATAAAAGTTAATTAATTGATTATACTTATTTTGAATTTGATCATTTCAGAGTTAACTTTTTTTCACAGATAAGAGAACAAATTTATCACACTTAAGAGAAAAAAAAAACATTATATGATGACACTGAACACAAAATATAAACCAAACACAATAGAAATGTGGCACAATGAGTCAAAACTCACCAAAACCGCTGTTTCTCATTCATATAATTTTCCTTTAGGTCCACAAACAGGTAAATATAATCTTTCTTATCTTGCAGGGTCTTAAAATCAACTAATTAATTACTTATTTTAGTCAGTAATCTCTTTAATCTTTCCGCTTGTTTGTTACATTATGCCGCTGTTCTCTGCTTTGACGTGCGCTAGTTATCCTTACGGGCATATTTTTATTTAATTTAATTATTTATTTATACATTTTTATTCACATTTCCCATAGGCACCTAATAAATTGAATGTATTTATTTGTAAACTGTAAAGTATTATTTTTATTTATTATGTTATATTAATTTTCATTTTCTATTATTTATTTTATTGTGGGTTACAAAAGTCTACTATGAAGACCACCCACTGCTGTAGTGCAGCAGGGGTTCCCAACCATGTTCCCATTTTATGTTTTGGAGTCATTGGAGACATTTTGTATCTCTCCCTTATCTGACATACACCCTCATCAGGTCTTGCAGTCTCTAATGAGCTGAAGAGTTGAATCAGGTGTGTTAATGAGGGAGACATAGGTGCGTTCGACTTGAAGCACCGCTACAGACTGCAGTCAACGAGAGCAGCCGCTTACAGTCGGGGGCGGACGGAGCCCTCAAGCCGGACACTTTCTGCTCCCGTTAGTGACGCTCGCGCTGTGTTTGCATACTCTATCACAGATGAAGTGAATTAAATGCAATATTTGTCAAATACACGGACGTTTCAGAAACGTTTTCATGAGCAACAGAGACACTTTTTATATACTGCTTAATACAGCGCTATCTGTTCAAGAATAAAGTTAAACATAAATATATACTATTTAAATACTAATAAAGTGGGGGTATATATGCTTTCATGATAAACGTGACTCAATTGAGACTACAGTAAAAAAGCTTTTAATGTTCTAAAAACACAGATTTATGAGCAGTATTGGATTTGAAGATGTTAGAAACATACGTCATTGTTGTCATTTGGTGAATTTGGCCAATCGTGAAACAGCCGTGTCGTCATCAGCGCTCCTGCAGTCGCTCTGAGTCAGCCGGCTATGGCAACCCGTTTTAGCATTAAATACTCCTTGCTGTACTAATTTTTGTCATAATTTTGTTTTGACTAGTCAAAATTCCAATTCCAGATATCTATTCTGCAATTTTGACTCGTCGTAATTGGAATTAAGATACCTACAATGTGATTATGACTAGTCTTTATATGCATTGAAGATATCTACAATGTTATTTTGACTAGTCATATTGTTCCATTGGACAATATTTTCGGATATCTACAAAAGAGTTTTGACTAGTAGAAATTGTAATTAAAGATATCTATAATTGATTTTGTACTAGGCATAATTCTAATTAGAGATATCTGAAATTACAATTTAACTAGTGATAATTAAATTAGAGATATCTCTAACTGAATTACCACTAGTACAAATTATAATTCGAGATATCTCTAACTGAATTACCACTAGTACAAATTATAATTCGAGATATCTCTAACTGAATTACCACTAGTACAAATTATAATTCGAGATATCTCTAACTGAATTACCACTAGTACAAATTATAATTCGAGATATCTCTAACTGGTGTTTGACTAGTCATAATCCAATTCAAGATATCTTTAATTCATCATTTTTAAAGATATCCAAAATACATTTGTAGATATCTGAAAGTAATTTATTACTAGTCAAATTACAGTTGTAGATATCTTGAATTGGATTTTTGACTAGGCAAAACTTAAGAGATATCTTGAATTGGAATTCTTCCTGCAATTTAAAGCTTGTTTCTGCCATGGAATAAAAATAAAAGTAATTTGCAGCTTTTTATCTTACAATTCTGACTTTTTTTCTTCTCAGAATTGCGAGATATAAACAATGCGAGTTATAAACTTTATAACTCACAATTCTTTGCATTGTGTTTAGCTATATCTTGCAATTCTGAGAAAAAAAAGTCAGAATTGTGGAATAAAAAGTCGCTATTTATTGATTATTTCTTTATTTAGTGGAGAAAACGAGCTTCCATAGGAAATAGCACACAAGGTGGGAGTATTGCATTTTATTATAGCAAGAGATCCATGATGATGATAATCTGCTGTGTTCAATGATGAGCGCCAATGTATTCTTTTAACATTATATAAAATGTTGCAACAGCTGACATGAGGCCTATACAAATCCTTAGCTACTGATTTTACATGTGTTCGTTTGTAAATAAAGCGAGAAAAGATGTCGTTATTACGAGAAAAGATGTCGTTATTACGAGAAAAGATGTCGTTATTACGAGAAAAGATGTCGTTAAAACGACTTAATTGAGTGGAAAAAATTATATGTGTATTACTTCTGTATAAAACAGTTTAAAATGACCCAAAGACGCAGGACCTTTATTTTACAACTCTTAGACAAAATGGCGGATGACAACAGTTTCCAAGGTAAGATTGGTTAATAAAATGTTTATGGTGGGGCTAAGCAAAGGTGCATTTGCATGCACATTTTAGATATCTATAAAGGAATTTTGACTAGTCACATTGTTAATT